TATACACGCCATGAAAAGCTGATCATAGGCTTTAAATAGAAGGTCAGGAATGAGTGGAAGACTACCTCTTACTTATCAACTCATATTTTCTCTAAGTTTTTTTTTTCTGTTTTTTTTTCAACGTTTATTTATTTTTGGGACAGAGACAGAGCATGAACGGGAAGGGCAGAGAGAGGGAGACACAGAATGAAACAGGCTCCAGGCTCTGAGCCATCAGCCCAGAGCCTGACGCTGGGCAGGCTCGAACTCACGGACCGCAAGATCGTGACCTGGCTGAAGTCGGACGCTTAACCGACTGCGCCACCCAGAAGCCATGTTTTCTAAGTTTTTTTTTTATCATGAGCACATTAATTACTTTAAGAAGAAAAAATAAAATTACAAACATACATAAAATGGCTTCTCCTCGGTCAATCTGATTTTTCCCCATTCTTTAAGATCCAAGTTCAATACCTCTTCCCTTGAAGGCTTTTTAAGACATTTCTATTCAAGACCATCCCTTTAAAACAGCTTTATTGAGATAAATTCACTGCATATGATTCACCTGTATTAGCCTGCCATACAATTCAACATTTTTTTTAGTATATTCATACAGTTGTGCAACCATTACTGTAATCTGATCTTAAGGATCTTCAACTTCAAAAAAAAAAAGGAAAAAGCTTTAATTTGCCAATTTTACCCGTTCATTCCTCTCACTGCCTAACCTGGCAATCATTAATCTTTCTGTCTCTATAGATTTGCCTATTTTGGACATTTCAAATAAATGAAGCATACAATATGAGGCCTTTGTAATTGGCTTTCACTTAGTGTGTTTACACATTCTCTTACCTGTTGTAGCATGTATCAGAACTTCATTTCTTTCTACAGATGGATAATATTCCAACATAAGGATATACATTTTATTTTGAGCAGTTAGCGGACAACCCGAAGTTGTTTCCATCTTTAGGCTATTATAAATAATGCTGTTATGAACATCCCTATGCAAGCTTTTGTGTGATGTATGTTTTAAAATCTCTTGGGTGTAAGACACTTAGGGTAAAACTGCTGGATCATATGTTAACTCTATGTTTAACATATCAAGGAATTGCTGAACTGTTTTCCAATGTGGCTGCACCATTTTACACTCCCAGCATATATGAGGGTTCCAATTTCTCCATATCCTCATCAATACTATTATATGTCTTTTAATTTATAGCCATTCTAGGGGGATGTAAGTGGTCAAACTGTGGTTTTGATTTGTACTTTCCTAATCAGTAATGATGTTAAACATCTTTTCATGTGTTTTTGGACACATATCTTCTTTAGAGAAATATCTATTAGATCCCTTGGCATTTTCTAACTGTGGGGTTTTTTTTTTTTGTTACTGAGTTATAACAGTTCATTATATGTTCCAGAAAAAAGTCCTTTTCAGATATATGACTGTCAAATATTTTCTCATTTTGTGGGCTCCTTTTGCTTTCTTGATGATGTAGTTTGAAAAACAAGTATCTTATTTTTTTCTCTTAAGTTAAAAAAAATTTTTTTTTTTCAACGTTATTATTTGGGACAGAGAGACAGAGCATGTGGGGAGGGGCAGAGAGAGGGGAGACACAGAATCGGAAACAGGCTCCGACTCTAAGCCATCAGCCCAGAGCCTGATCGCTGGGCTCGAACTCACGGACCCATGAGATCGTGACCAGCTGAAGTCAGGCGGCACCATTTCATGACCACCCAGGCCTAAAAAATTTTTAAGTTTATTTGTGAGAAAGAAAAAAAAAGAGCAAAAGTGGGGGGGGGCAGAGAAGGAGAGACAGAGTCCCTAAGCAGGCTTTATGCCATCAGTATAGAGCCCAATGGTGAGGCTCACATACTGTAAGATTATGACCTGAGCCAGATCAAGAGTTGGATGCTTAATCACTGCACCACCCAGGCACCCCAAGGAAGTCCAATTTATCTATTTTTTCTTTCCTCACTGTGCTACAGCCACCACCTTTTAGCTCCTAAAGAACCTATGTTTTCAAAATGTACCATTTACATAACTCTTCAAATTACTAATTTGTGATCCTACCTATCTTCTAAAATAGTTTCCTTGTTTTTCTAAGTAGATCGTTTTTAAGTCCTTTAAAAGCCTCGGGGCGCCTGGGTGGCGCAGTCGGTCCGACTTCAGCCAGGTCACGATCTCGCCGTCCGTGAGTTCGAGCCCCGCGTCAGGCTCTGGGCTGATGGCTCAGAGCCTGGAGCCTGTTTCCGATTCTGTGTCTCCCTCTCTGCCCTCCCCGTTCATGCTCCTCCATCTCTGTCCCAAAATAAATAACGTTGAAAAAAAAAAATTAAAAAAAAAAAAGATCCAAGTTTTGGCTTCATTATCTAAAATACCTGGCACAGTGCCTACACAAACAATATTCACTAAAATAATGCATTAATGTTAGTGGGCACCAGGACAGAACAAAACCAAGGTTTCTAATTTATAATTCAAAGATCTATACCAGGAGTTTGGAAGATGGTGGACTACAAAGTACAAGACACAGACAGTTTGGGAGAGTGACAGACTGTGACCCCAGGGTGGGGAGGGAGCTGCAACTGCAGAGAAGGGAGATAGACAGACTAACACACAGGTAAGCACAAGTAGAAAATAAATCCCCCCATAGCAATAGGCTTGAAAAGCTAGAAGGCTTGAACTTCCTGAGTTCATAACCAGCAGGGCTTAAAGCCTGGAGTTTTTTCTTGTTTTATTTTTATTTATTTTTTTAAATTACATCCAAGTTAGTTAGCATATAGTACAAAATGTTTCAGGAGTAGATTCCTTAATGCCCCTTACTCTTTAGCCCATCCCCTTCCATACCCCTCAGTAACCTTCTGTTTATTCTCCATATTTAAAAGCCTCTTATGTTTTTGTCCCCCTCCCTGTTTTTATTATTTTTTGCCTTCCCTTATGTTCATCTATTTTCTTTCTTAAGGTCCTCATATATGGAGTGAAGTCAAATGATATGTCTTTTTCTGACTGCTAGTTTGGCTTAGCATAATACCCTCTCCTGGTTCCATTCACGTAAGTTGCAAAATGACAAGATTTCATTCTTTTTGATTGCTGAGTAATAAATATATTGTATGTGTGTATATATACACACACACACACACACCACCTTCTTTTTTTTTTTTTTTTTTTTAATTTTTTTTTCACAACGTTTATTTTTTGGGACAGAGAGAGACAGAGCATGAACGTGGGAGGGCAGAGAGGGAGACACAGAATGAAACAGGCTCCAGGCTGTGAGCATTCAGCCCAGAGCCCGACGGGGCTCGAACTCACGGACCGCCAGATCGTGACCTGGCTGACCATCGGACGCTGAACTGAATCATGCCTACACCAGGCTTCCCTAAATCAGTAACTTTTTTAAATTTTTTTTTTTCAACGTTTATTTATTTTTGGGATAGAGAGAGACAGGCATGAACGGGAGGGGCAGAGAGGGAGACACAGAATTGGAAACAGGCTCCAGGCTCTGGCCATCAGCCCAGAGCCCGGCCGACGGGCTCAATGAACTCACGGACCCATGGTCGTGACGACCTAGCTGAAGTCGGACGCTAACAACCACTGGGCCTTTCGCCACCCAGGCTTCCAATCAGTAACTTTTAAATGAGTAAAAAGAATTCTTCTACTATGTGAAATCTAGAAAATAGCCACTTTCAAGAATGCTCTTACTTAGAATAGAAACACTTTATAAGACAGAGGACACCATTGTAGTTCTCCTACCTGCAGCCCCTAAGCACAGTATACACTGTATGCCCTCACACATAGGGAAACACTAATAAATGTTTAGGAAATAAATGAATGAAATTTCTTTCTTAGACCACAGAATTTGAAAGCTGTACAGAGTTTGCAAATATATGTATCAATTCCAAATTTTGTACAAAGCCAAGTAACATCTTGCAACTTATAAAAGTTCCCTGGAAAGATATGTCAATTAAAAAAAAATCTTAAGAATACAGAAATGTAAGGTTGGGTCATTACAGTGATATTTAAGATCTATACGAGTAGCTTACTAAGATGGTACAAATTTTGTTTACTCTCAAATCAAGTTCTTTGGGCAACTTTAAGATTAACCATCCTTTAGGGGTGCCTGGGTAGCTCAGTCAGTTCAGCATTGACTTCAGCTTAGGTCATGATCTCACAGTCCGTGAGTTCGAAGCTCAAGGCAGGCTCTGTGCTGACAGCTCAGAGCCTGGGGCCTGCTTCAGATTCTGTGTCTCCTCTCTCTGCCCCTCCCTGCTCATGCTCTGTGTCCTCTGTCTCAAAAAAAATAAATTAAAAAAAACATTAAAAAAAGATTTAAAAAAATAGTAAAAAAAGATAAACCATCTAATAAAGACCTAAATATAAACCATGACATTACATAATGTTGATATTTCAAGAAATATACACACCATTCAAATTTATATAAAAAAATAAAGTGTTTT